TGGTCTGTATGAAGTGATTAGGGTTTTGCAGGAGCCAGCCGAATCCACATGGACATAATGCTGCTGTCGTGCAGGACCACTCACATTTGGAGGATGGGGACCAATGCTCCTGAACTATGCTTGACGTGGAGGGTTGGCAGGCAGCTTTTTCCATCCACTGGATGTTCAAGCTGGGTCACAATCCCGTTTTTAGGAGACTGTGTGGCAGCTTCAGGAGGAATATGCACCTCCTGTAACTCCTCTTCGCCATGCCTCCTCTGCGGGTGCAGGTGCAACAACATGGGCTGTGTACCAAGCGCTCCCTTGCTCACGTGAGGGAATGCAGGGTCAGCCTTCCCCCGAAACCCAGAGCCAGCACGGCCAAGTTAGCGCAGGGTCAGGGCCAAGCAGAGATTATTTCCCCCTAGAAACAAAGGAAGACCTGGGAGGCAGAGACTGCAAAGCCATGGCTTTGTCCCACGTGCAATACAAAGCGTAAAGGTGTGACTCAGTTACGTGTTATTGCGGTCAGCATGTTTGCAGAAGGTTGAGTGTGCTTTTTAGCCTGTGCAGCTCTTGATGTCTTCAGTGAAACCTAAAGTGCCTTCAGCTCTTTTCGGACTACTCCCTTCTTTTTGTTTTGTGAACAGCATCAGTACCATAACAATTGGCTGGTGGCAAATCCAAGGCCTCCAGCAGCATCCCACAAATGGTAATTTTCTCTTCAGAATGACTTTCCCCTCACTCACACAACTCACTTTGCTGGCTGCCTCATTTTGGTACACAAAAGAAAAAATCTGTCCTTACCCTGGGGAGAGGACAGTAGATGCCTGAAACATGAGATGTTTCTTCATGCGTAAGAGAAAGGAGTCAACTCAGCTTAATTTCTTAGTCCCAGCCACACAGCACGGGTGAAAGTTTGGAAAGTTCAGGTCAACAGTTACCGTTACAATTCATGTAATTCTTACATCTATAAAAGCATATATCTTTATGCGCATATACAAAGAAATCTGTATACATTTTTTACTTCTTTATTAGTGGCCAAAATTATATCCTGTATTTTTTTTAAGCCAAGACCCAATCCTGCTGTGACAGGACAATTAACCACCCTGTGGTGAAATATTCTAGCTTTGAGGAAGAAACAGCTTTTTGCAGATGTAAGTCCCACAGAAATAAATGTAGGCCATTTGTTTCAGCCTCCTCTAAATATCCACACCAAACAAGAACAGCCCAGCTGTGAGAACTGTCTCTGGCAGTGGCATACTCCCTCGGTTTGGCAGGTAACAAATTCTCTCAAAGGCAGCTTTCTTCTAATTTAGACTTGTTTCCCACGCAATAGAAAACAGAGGATCCCTCCTTCTGATAAAGCATATCATATATACGGACCTACAAGAATCTATAGATGAGTCTATTTCCCTTCATTTGCTTCTTCGCCTCTGAGGACTCAAATCCACCCAATTCTTTTCCCAGCAGCCAAGTGAACTACTGTTGCCAACTCTTCCATGAAAGTCTCAGAGGTTGGATTCATTTTTTCCCTTTTTTATAATTTATTTTTTGCCCAGGGAATTGAAGTGCTGGCTAAAACAATGCTTTTAAAACAGGCCAACCTCCTCAAAATTGCTTGAATAAGATTGGCCCCAATATGACTTCCTGGGGCTACAAACCACACACCAATTTATGTACTCAATACATATAGGTTAATTTGCATTGATGCTTTATTATATAATAATCATTAAGCCTATAAACAAGATGGGTTACAGACAACACTTCATTTTTCTCTAGGCCCTGCATCAATCTGATCGTCTCAAGATCATACTTGGTATTTCCTCTAATCAGTGTAGCTGTTTGGCAGTTTAGAACGTCACCCAGATTTTTCTTGGTGTAGCCTGATCAAGAACAAGCACAGCGTACAAGGGAGGGCTTTGCAGTCTCTCATCTGATGTTACAACATGCTCTGTGTATCTGTTAAAAACAGCACGCAGCTTCTTTTGTGCATGGATACCAGCCTGAAGCTATTCAAAATGCTGTAAGAGACAGGCCTGACTTCATTTAAGCCAGTGTTTGAAAATTATCAAAAGAGGTGCCAAGACAGATGGAGCTGGTAAGCTAGACCTGGGACACTTTGCATTAGGCAAACCGTACTCGCACTGGAAGTCAGAGATATTTCTAAGTAAAGCAGTCCAAGATGCTTTTAATAACAATACCTTGAATCTAAATCTCTTAACCAGTCTATAAAAGCTTTGGACACCGTACATCAATAACATGTTCTTTGCTTTTGTTTCTGTTTTACTCTTCTTCTCCCTTCAGACTTTCGCTCCAGGCATTTCTCTCTCTTTCCAAGGGGACTTTCACTCAGGTTAGGTTTTGTTATGTTCATCTGCAGTTTATTCTCCCCACGATTAT